CAAACCTTCGTAGTTTTCAGCCTACCTTTCTGTTTCCAGGGCTACTAACTGTCTAAGTGGTTCCTCTACTTGAACATTATCTTCCTTCCTTCTACAATCTCCATCTTGTAATATATGCTTCAAGCTCAACCTAAATGTCCCCTCCTTTTGTGAAACCTTTCCTCACCTGTTTCCAAGTAGCGTTAACTGCACCCATACCAACCCATCCCTCTCAATATAAAGTAGTCACTGTTATAATTGTCTCTTTTCAAATTTTGAGCTCATTATAAGGGCTTCATTATTTACCTGTCTCCGGAGTACAATGAAAGTGTGGTCCATAATAGATGGTCAGGGCTGCTTAATCAGCAAATAAAACCAACAGATCTGTGTTGGAAGAAGTGCAGCCAGAGTGCTCCTTGGAGGCCAGGATGGCCAAACTTTGTCTCTCATACTTGACATGTTGTAAGGAGGGACCAGTCACTGGAGAAGAATATCATGTTTGGTAGGGTGGAGGGTCGGAGAAGAAGAGGACCACCAGCGAGATGGATTAGCAAAGTGGCAGTGTCAATGGGCTCTTAAGTGTGACAATGATAGTGAGGTTGGCCCAGGATCAGGCATTGTTTCGTTCTGCTGTGCATAATGTCGCTGTGGGTCAGTACTGACTCGATGGCATCTAACAATAACAACAACCTGTTAAGGACAGGACAGTACCTGGTCATGGCAAGTTCCTCTCAATCTACTCTCCCCGCCCCACATCCCAATCAGATGTGCTAACCCCAAAATGTGCCCATCTTCCTCTTTGGGGATTTGTGGTCATGTCTGTAACACAATGGTTTGGCCTAAATATGCTCCTTCTGGCTCTATGGCAATCCTTTAAATCAGAAGTCCTGGGGTCTCCTTTATTCCTTCCTGAATTGGGACCTAACAAGGACATTGTTATGGCCAGCACATTCAGTGAACAAAAAAATGGTCCCATCTCGCGTTGTCATGGAATCCTCAGTAGATTTAAAATCAGAAGACAAAGCTGCTGCCATTTCCTAGTTGTGGCTCTGGGCAAGCCATTTCATATTTCTGAACTTGTTTCCTTCTCTTTAAATTGAGGATAATATTGTCTTTACTTCACAAGAATACAAAGGATTAAAGGAGATGTAATGGCTAAGCAAGAAGCCCTGGTGGTGCAAGTGATTAAGTACTTGGCTGCTAACCCAAAGTCAGCGGTTTGAACCCACCAGCTGCTCCATGGGAGAAAGATGTGGTTTGTTGTTGTTAAGTGCCGCTGAGTCGGTTCCGACCCATAGCGACCCTGTGTAAGGTTTCCAATGAGCAGCTGGTGAGCTTGAACCACCCACCTTGCAGTTCAAATGGCTTTGCAGTCTGACACATTAACCTACAGTGCCACACCAGGACTCCGAAAGATGTGGTAGTCTGCTTCTAGAAAGGGTTCAGCTGTGGAAACCCTATGGGCAGTTCCACTCCAAAACCCTGAGTCAGAATCGGGTTTTGGTTTTGGAAGAGCGCAGCATAGCACCTAATGCAAAGCTCAATGCACATTTCATTTGTTCTCAGCTGTAGCTATTCAACTTGAAGAAATACCATTTCACTGGATTATCCTCTTGTTCTTTTAAGTCACATGTATCTGGAACCAAACCAACACTGTCCAGAATCGCCTATATTACCCAGGAGAAAATATGACGTAGAAACAACCTAGGTTTGAACTCCAACACTACCACTTCTGAGCTGTATAATTTGGACCTGTCTACCCGGAGTCCTGGTGTGGTGCTGTGGGTTAATACACTGACTGCAAAGTTGGTTTGAACCGCAAGGTCAGTGGTTCCAGCGTCACCAGTCATTCCTCGGAAACTCTATACAAGGTCGGAACCAACTCTACGGCATGTAACATCATCATAACCTATAAAAGGAACATAACAACATGTACCTCATGGTTGCTGTTAGGACTGAATATGATGTGTAGAGTGAATTCATGTTTTGGTTGTTAAGTGCTGTCAAGTTGGTTCTGACTCATAGCGACCCTGTATAGTGTTTCTGAAGAGTGGCTGGTGGGTTTGAACTGCTGACCTTTCCGTTAGCAGTCCAGGGCTTATCTTACAGCTCCACACCAATAGAGAGAATTGGTGGCTGTGTGCCGTGGAGTCGGTTCCGACTCATAGCGACCCTGTACAGGGTTTCTGAGGCTGTAAATCTTTACAGGAGCAGAAAGCCTCATCTTTCTCCCGCGGAACAGCTGGTAGTTTCGAACTGCTGACCTAGCAGTTCACAGCCCGATTTGTAACCACTACGCTACCAGAGCTCCTTAAACACTAAAAATTTGACTTCGGGTGTGGTGCTATAGGATCAGCACTAGACTGCGAACTACAAGGTCAGCAGTTCAAACCCACCAGCTGCTCCTTGGAAACTGTAAACAGTATCACTATGAGTCAGGGCCTATTCAAGAGCATTTAACAACAACAAAAATTTGGTAACTATTATGACTTGCCTGGTGAAAAAAGTAGTTGCTGTGTGAATGCCCCTGGAAACGATGCATGTGATCATGCTGCCCCCTTGTGGATAAGGTGGCATGCAGTCCCAGAAGGAGAAGGAGAAATCAGATCATACATAAAAGGCTATCCTCTTCTATTAGGAAGCTCATGCTCTACCCTGAAATTTTAGTGAACATCTAATCCAGAACTTCTCAAACATTAATGTGTTTGTTCAAATTAAGGTCAGATTCTGACTCAATAGGTCTGAGACGGGACCAACATTCTCTAACCACTCCTAAGTGACGCTGAAGCTGCTGACCTGTATATATTATTCAGGAATGGTATAACAGGAATGGTTTATTCAGGGCTTACCATGTACATGAGAGTTCATGAGAGTCAGTCATCCTATATTAACTTAAGTCCTCAGGACCTTGTGGGGTAGGTACTAGTTGTGTCCATTTTTCAAATGAGGAAATTATACAAAGGAAGTAAGCTGCTGTATCTAATAGCCAGTAATAGCAAATAGTTGTATCAGTAATATCAAATAGCTGTATCAATTAGCTCTAAATTAGAGCCTTGGGCTCTAATTTAGGCACTTCTGGTTCCAATGGTGTGTGGATGCCAGGGCAGGAAAACCAGCATGGGTACTGACTGCAGTGGTCTAGATCAGAGATGATGGGGGGTACGCTAGGGTAGTAGCTGTGGGATGGAAAGGAGAGGCCTGGAAAAGAGAACAGGCAGGATTCAGTAGTAGACCGGATATGAGTATGAGAGAGGGATCAGTCTAGAAGATACTCTAGTGTCTGGCTGAGCAACTGGGAATTTGAAGGTACCTGCTATTTGCTGAATTGGGAAACATGAATAATTAGTTTCAAGTGAGTTCAGTTTTAGAAATGGTCAATATGAATCACCTTTCAGTCATCTGGATGAGACAGGAGAAGGTAAGTAAGTGAACCAAAGCTTCTAGAACTCAGGAGATGTTCTGGTTGTGGACAAAGTCTAGGTATTGGTGTTTGTAAAGCCCTAGTGACTGTCATCATCTGGACAGCACAGACTAAGGTCTGCCACAGGAATCTATGTCTCTGTGGCCATTCCACTGGGCATTCTGGAGTTGGGGAGCAGGCAGAGCATAGCATTCTGGGCCACAGGGAAAGGGGTTTTGGTTTCTGAAGCTCTATGGAGACTATGGACTCCTGATGTGGTGCTGTAGGAGCAGCACTGGACTGAACTACAAAGGCAGCAGTTCAAACCCACCAGCTGCTCCTTGGAAACCCTATACAGGGTCACTATGAGTCAGAACTGATGCTATACACTTAACAACCACAACATGGAGACTATAAATGGACAGCTTCCTGTCCTCATATGAGAACTGGACAATACTATATGACAAAGACCAGACTAATAAAGGTTGGGAAATATTTATTTTCTTTAAACAAGGTCATAAATAACAAAGAAACAAATTAGGTCCCTGACTCTGGACCGTGCAGCAGGACAGGGATAGGAAGTTGTTGGGTGGAAAAGTGGAGGGGGTGCTATGCATCACCTAAGACAGTCACAGAAAAGATGGGCTTCAGGAGACTGCTCCCCCAGCCCTGGGAAATGGCGTGCCTGGGCAGCAGGGGGGGCCACAGTGCCATGAGGTGGCAGCTGGAAGGGCAAAGGGAGTGGGGACACTGGGTTGGACTGTTTCTATGAAGAGTGACAAGGAAGCTACAAATGGCAGAGAAGCTGTGGGTCTTGAAAAGGCAAATGGGCACTTGCACACCTCCAGGGACTAACGATGAAAATGGTTTAATTTGACTATTAACAGGAATTCCACAGACTGTGGCTTTGTGCATGGGCTGTGTTTAACCGGGATGCTCTGTGGCAGGTGAGGGCTCAAGAGGCCCCTGGAGCAGCCTGGCCTCAGCCCAGGGAAGGTGCCCCGACATGTAGGAGAAGGAGAGGGGGTGGGGCTCTCCTCAGAAGGGAGGCCATGTGCTTGGACTGACTGGCCCTGATTTTCTGGCTGGTTGCTTTAGGATGGGATCGTGGCCTCTCTGGGTCTCCCAAGCCTGAAAGAGTTGAAAGTGGGATAGAAAGATACCTGACTGGTGTTTTATTTGCAAGGGAAAATAAGGACCACCCTCTGCATAGTCCATCCCATGAGGTAGGGCAGGACCATGCCAAGAACAATCTCAAGGAATGGAGGTCCCTGAGCCTGGGGAAATGTCTGGACCCAGAAACAGGGTCCTTGGGCAGCTCTAATGGAGGCTTCACCCTAGGCAAGGCTGGGAGGGGCAGGGGCTACCTCTGTACAGGAAAAGGGGTAGGAGTTGGGGAGCCCTGGATTGGGAAGACCAATGCTGGTCAAGGGCCCTGGAAAACAATGCTTTTGGCAGGAACAGATGAAGGGTCTATAAATCTGGGGATGCCCATTTGCAGGGAGCCGGTGTCACATGGCCGGGCAGGATGGTGAGGAGGAGAGAGCGGCATCACAGTGACCTCTGGTGCGATGTATTTATAACAGAGCTCAATGTTGAGGGCGGGATGGACAGCAGGTCACTAACAGCCAGGAAACACACTGTCAGGAGTGGAAAGAGAAGGGGAACAAACGTCAATAGTGCTGAGACTAGGAGCTATACGAGTCCCGTGGCCTGGCTGGCTTTCTTCAGCAGCAGGCAGAAAGCACAGAACTTCTTTAGGAGCTTGGATAAGTCAGATTCCCATCTAAGACTTCTGGTGGATGAGGCTCCCAAGAGAGAGTGAAGGGGCAGACACAATTTTACCTCAACCTCAGTAACTACTCACTGGACTGAACCACATAGAACAGTCAACTATGGGATTGTAGACACATGCATGATGAGGATAGAAAGGGCGGTATGTATGGTGACTCAAACCAGATTAGGGGTATGACAGATAGATATTTACAACCTGGCATATATCTGTCTGTCAGAGGAGATCAGCATTTCTGAGTTCTTAAGCTATTCCTTACCATTGGAATCCACCGATGGGTTCTGCAAACCTATGCCGGATCAGGAAAGTAGCAACAGCTTCAGCTACCTAAAGAAGGGAATGATATTCCAGATCACATGAAGGTTAGATTCTGTGGGCTTCTGCTGGAAGGTTAGATTTATTGCAGATTCAAGGGTTCCATAGGTCTGAGGAGCTTGAAATCAAAAGACCCGAGCTCCTGGCAAGATTGGGAGACTCCTCTCTACTATCCTTATGGCTCTAGAGAGGTTCACAAGAGTGATGTGAAGGACTTATCTGTTTTTCCCTACAGGAGGAGCGCATATGAATTCCTATTTGTGCCTGCAGTTCATGGAGTCGGTTCCATCTCAATCATCCCTTCTACCATCTGGCTTTTGGGAGGAAATGGAGAAGTAGTGTTTAGGATTGTAATCACAGAGCCCTGGAATGAAATACCAGGGGTCAGCAGCTTCTCAGTCTATCTAGAGAAAGCTAAGCCCATAGGCAGGGAGAGGTTTGGGGAGCTGGAGGAAATGCATCTGAATAGGCCCCACACAGCTTCAGGCAATGCAGGCTGACTCAGAAGTTCACCCCATCCACTGTGAGAGCCCAGGTTACTCTAACAGGTGGTCCTTGTACTGTCCTTGAAAACCAGACTCACCTTGTCTGGGGCATCCTCATGGACTGCATGACCACACTGAGGTAGGACCTGCATCTGGAACTTCCCTGGAGAGAAAACAAACCCAGACAACTTCAGAGAGGAAAACAACCCTTAGCTTACTACCTCTGCAGCCTCATAGTCACTCCAGGAGCCCAGGTGCTCCCCATTTTTACTCCATTCCTCAGTACCATGGACCCAGGAACTGAGCTTTGATTAGGATGGTAATATTTAGAAGTGTAATCTTGGGGAAATCACTTTTCAACCTGTAATACTAGTATGTACTTACTTTGAACCAGGAATAGGAATAATTCTGTTCTGAGGGGATTTATAGTCCACTGGAGGAGTAAAACAAAACCAATAAAAATCTAGCTTAGTCATTTCTCCCTTCTATCATAACCTCCCTTAAATCATAATGATCAGACCAGAAGCTTACAACTCCAATCCTCCCACCCCCTCCCTGGTCTTTCTACTAACTCAGGCTCTGGCACTAGAAATGTATGAAAGGGTTTCAAAAAATTCATGGACAGATTCCATTACTTTTCAACTCCATTTTTCCACCAACTTTTTGAAGCTCCCACCCCATATTTTTAATTTCTCTTTAGAAGAATATGTTTAAGGAATCAGGGAGAAGTCACACATGCTAATAACACTGTGTCAGGTACATATAAGGAATCCTATTGTGCTGTAGGATAAGAGCCACCATAAGGATGGTGGTTCAAACCCACCAGCCACTCCTTGGAAACCCTACATAGGGTCACTATGAGTCAGAATCATGAGTAATCCTCATATATTATTCTAGGAGGTGGGAATTTTTCCAATTTCTTCTATCCCCATTTATAGATGAAGAACCAAAGGCTCATACAACCTAAATTATTTGTCCAAGTTGCATCATGAATAAGCAGTGAGTTTCTAGGATTCTACAACTAATTCAGCTAGTTTGAACACAGTGCTAGGAAGGCTGTATAAATCAATGCAGGCTTAGTCTCCTTGTTTTAGGGAACAACCCTCATCCTAGCCAGTGCCATACCAGGATGACTCCTAATATGTACTTGGCACAGTGGTTATGGGATTGGACTCTTGGTGTGGCGCTGCAGGATCAGCGCTGGACTGCGAACCACAAGGGTCACTATGAGTCAGAACTGACTTGATGACACTTAACAACAATGGATGCTCTGAAAGAAAAGGTGGGTGGCCTTGGCATAATCCATGCTGAGGGAACAAGAGCATATCTAATGAGGAACTGTGAGTACTTGCTGAATATAATCTTACCTGGCCTACATTTTCTCATTTAAGCTTCATATCCTTGTCTCCATTTTATAGACAAAGAAACTCAGGATTTAAAAGTTAGCAATTCACTCAGGTCACAAAACCAGAACAATGATTGTCTGGTTCCTAAGCTAGTGGTGGACATTGGTTCTGAATGCTATTCCAGTGTAAGTCAGTTACTGTCTTTCAGACAGTAACAGGGACCATGTCTGATTGATCTCTGTATGTCCAGCATCAAACAGAGGTCTTCCACAGAAAGGGTACAGAAGAAAATTTGTTTTAAGCTAAGCTCAGAGTGTGTGTCTAATCCTAGCATCACCAACATCAGTGCCATAAAAATCATAGTCCCAGTCTGTGGTCCTGCTCCAGGTCTTAGGATATACTATGTAGCTGGAGGCAGTTAAGAGTATTAGGGTTGGGCACAGGAGAGCCTGGGTGCGAGGGATGGGGGCAATATACAGGGAGGGAGAGGAAAAGGGAAAAACGGGGCAGCTGGGAGAACAATTGGGCATAAGT